AAGTACAAAGAAAAGAAACAAGACTACTATATGGTGTTCAGATTTTTAAAAATGAAAAACTGATGATACGACCCTCGGGGAAGTTGTGGCAAAAGCTAAAGATAAAAGAAATTTCCATTAGATATATGTCATGACACGTGTAACCTAGTAACCATAGGAGAGAATTTACTATTAATATGGAGTAGTACTAAGGTTGTGCCATGAAGTTTAGTCGTAGGTGAGCATACAAGACTTTTACAAGATGAGGTTCTACGATGTATGTTGTTTGTCGTTCACAGAGTTTAGTTAATAACACTAGGAGGGAATGATTCTAAATTAGAAATTTGGAGAAGCACATTGGAATTTAAGCCACTTTTTTATAAACGGTCAAATTACTTTTTATCCACATATTTCATGGAATCCACGAGTGGTACGCATTTATCCACCACTCATTTTTATTAATTTAAATTGATTATATATAACTCCCAAACATGCTTGTAGAACTAAGACATAATGCACAAAAGTCATTTTAAGCCCTTTTGGCAAGACTTTTGAAAAGTCAACAACTATTTTTCAGATGAAGAATTTACTTTTGAAACTGTTTGGACAATTTTCTAGAAATGCTTTGTCTGACTAGAAGAGTTTTTTAAAGGAAGCTGGCCTAAGGCACCCGTTTGGCAAGGCTTGTGCCTTTGCTTCTGCTTCTTTATAGAAGAGTTTTCTGAAGAAGCTATCTTATGTTCACTTCCTCTAATAACCCTTCTTAGTTTTAACCAGACAAAGCACTCAGAAAATATCCAAAACATATTAAAATTAGTTTTTTAGTCACAAAAGCAGCTTTTAACTTTTCAAAAAACCCGCCAAATGAGCCCAATGTAACTTTCTTAGGAAGCTATACTACAAAAAGCAAAAGCACAAGCCTGCCAAACAAGCCCTTATTCATAGTAGAAGTAAGAAAGATAATGAAGTCACTACAGAGCCTCATGTTGTCCTACAGAGCCACGAGTGCAAGAGATGCAATGCATAATATAAGAGCGTGTAGAATGAGATGGAAAAAAAATTACTATTAAGGATTCTATGCAATTGGAAGATGCCTATAAAGTTAAAAGGCAAAGTTTTGCATAATTGGTATCAGACTAACTACGGTTTATGGTAATCAATGTTGTGTCGGTGGTGGATGAAATACCCGTTAGAGGATTGTTGGAAATGAGGATAATAAAATGGCATATGGTCATACTAAAATATATAAAGTAGAAAATGCAGTTTTCGCATTAATAAGTAGAGGTGACGCTGAGTTCTGAGAGGAAGGGAGGGAGGGAGGGGGAGAGAGAGAGAGAGAG